TGGGATTTGTGGTGGACAAAGTGGCGCTGGGTCAGGTTTTCTCCGAGTACTTCAGTTTCCCCTGCCAATCTTCATTCCACCAAATTCTCCATCATCATAATTACCCGGGACAGGCTACAATAGGCCAATCAGTGGCCGCCGTGCCGAGTGGACCCAGTTGGACTCCACCTCCCACTAAGCGAATTATGGTTCTCATGAATTCTGAAAAATAAAATGCGTTAAGCCAGGGTGTGCTACCTCAAAGGTGTTAACTAGACGATTACCATTTCATCAGTAAGTTACTGAAGTTCATTTACTATTATATTATTTCAGAATAAGAAAAAGAATAGACGGGCGAAATATAGAAGTACACTGATCTTGTTTAAGGGGCAGCTGGTACATAGAAAACTATGCAAGAGAGGAATGGTATGAAGGAAGATATGGGTTTGGGGACTGAAAGGGTTTAGGAGAAAAGGCGAACAGGGGATTTTCTCCATATGTAACAAAGAGGAAGCTTGGAGCTCATACACTGAGGTGTGATGGAACAGATTCGGAGGTATCATTCAGCATAGGAGGTTTAGAAGTATCATTGCAGAAATGGGCATAAGGAGGAATACATGATGCAAAAATAAAGAACACTGGCAGGAAATAGAAATATATATGACTAAAAATACTATAAATATAAATCGGAGAGCACAATCAAAAAGCACGTGAGCGAAGAAGAAATTAATGTATGGCTAGCAATTGGTAGTTATAATAACAGAGTACGTACAATAAAGTGTTAATTTAGTGTTTAAAGGTGAGATGTGTAAATAGTAATCAAGTGGGATGCTAGAGGGTCGGACCAGGGAGTCATACTTCATCGCCGTTGTGTGTACAGGAACAGACTCAGTACAGTATTCTCATTCATTCATACGTATTATAGTTACTTTAAATATAATACTTCGATCAAAGATGAAACTTGATCACGTGAAGAGTTCCACCTACCAGCTCCATAGAGCCGGGTCCTTGAGAGGCCACCAATGATTCAGCTACTCAAGGATGTCTGAACATTCTATGGAACCCGAAGGTTCATTACCCTGTTAACAAGAGCCCAACACTGTCCTATATCCTGAACCAAATGAAGTCAGTCCAATCCCATCCAATCCTATTTCTCTTAAGATCTGTTTCAGTATTATCCTCCCACCTACGTCTAGGTCTTCCTAGTGGCCTCTTCCCTTCTGGTTTCCCATGGGTGCTACATTCCCTGTCCATCTCGTTCATCATGACTTGATTATTCTGGCGAGTGGTAATAGTTATAAAGTTCCTCATGATTAAGTTTTCTCCAACCTCCTATTGTTTCGTCCCTCTAGGGTCTATATGTACTCCATAGCACCCTTTTCTCAAACAAACTCAGTGTGTGTTGTTCCCTTGATGTTAGAGACCCGGTTTCACTCCCATACGACCCTACAGCCAATATTATAGTTCTGTATATTCTGATTTTTACTTTTCTAGAAAGTAGACAGAACAAAAGGTTCTGAATTGAACGGCAGTAAGCATTACCAAAATTTAATCTGCTCTCACTTTCCTCGTGAATCAGATTTTGATTTCGTATTCTCATTCCCCCAAGAGATGAAGTGACAGGCAGTTGGAGAAAACTGCATATTGAGGAGCTTCATAACGTGTATTCTTCTCCAAGTATAATTAGAATGAACAAGTCAAGGAGGATGAGGTGGGCAGGTCATGTAGCACGAATGGGGGAGACGAGGAATGCGTATAGGATATTGGTGGGAAAGCCAGAAGGAAAGAGACCACAGGGAAAAACAAGGCGTAGGTGGGTGGACAGTATTAGAATGGGTATTAGAGAGATAGGATGGGATGGTATGCATTGGATAGATCTGGCTCAGGATAGGGACCAGTGGAGGGCTCTTGTGAACACGGTGATGAACCTTCGGGTTCCATAAAATGCTGGGAAATTCTTGAGTAGCTGCAGAATTTATGGCTCCTCCAGAAGGGCTCAGCTCCATGAGTAAGTAAGTAAGTAAGTAATTCTCATTCCCAAATAGGGTAACATTGCTACATTTTCAAACGAGGGACACGCGGTAGCGTAGTTGGTTGAGACACTATGCTGCAAGCCGGAAGGTGGGGGATTCGAATCCCTATGAGGTAGATTTTTTCAGTTGACCTAATCCTTCCAGCCGCACTATGACCCTGGGGTCGACTCAGCCTCTAACAGAAATGAGGGCCACGAATCTTCCTGAGGGGTAAAAGGCGGCCGGCGCGTAAGGATGACAATCTTACCGCCATCTGTGAACCGATTGTCTAGATAATGTGAGTCCCTCAACGTCTCACAACCCTATGGGTCTTCACGGCCTGGTACAGGTATAGCTTTACCTTTACATTTTCAAATGATGATTTTGCTCTGCTTTCTGGTGGCGAGACATCAGTGTGTACTTAGTTATATCATCAACATAGACCAGCAGCTGATATATCCCATTCAAACTTTGTTCCATCTGTTATGCCAAACTCAATGAGAACACTGTACCATACTGCCCTCCAGGCAGTCTTGAAATCAATGAATGTCCGATATACTGTCTCGTTTTAGTCCCATTTCTTCTCCAGCCCCCTGAAAAGTTTTTTTGTGTGTTTTCCAGGGGTGCATCATGAACACTGCCAAAGGTACGAAACGAGAGAATGGTATTGAATCGGAAAGCATTCAGTCCAACAGAATTCGTCCCATCAAAATAACTGCTGTGGGCGACGGAATGGTGGGAAAGACGTGTCTCCTAATCACCTACGTTTCAAAACGCTTTCCTACAGAATATGTTCCTACAGTGTAAGTATTTCGCTTACAGTATTATGCTCACTGCATATATGTATATGCAGACACACGGGGGCAATTGAGCGCGCCGTGCCACTTAGTGAGCGCAAACCCTGACTCTTACCTCAGTTCCCGCGTGTGAGGAAGAGGAAGTCTAACCATCGATATATCCAGGATGAATGATGAGTGTACAAGTTTATTGTTTTCCTTTTTTATTCCCTCATTCTTCCGTCTCTCTATCTTTTATACAATTAAAATAAGTTTAATGTACGTTTTGCTCGTATTTTACACTATATATGCATACGTTGTAAGGTATGTAAAAAGCACGTGCTTTATGGGCAACTGAAAGGAATTTTGGGTAACCCCCGCGTTAAGATGCGCTGCTCCACTGCACAGTAGGGGCTGGAGATGCCGCCATCTTCTTATCAGTTTGCAATCCGATTACGTCCCCGCAAGTTTTAATATGAGTATAAATTTTTAGTAACGTTCTAAAGATTGAAATATGGTGATGGGTCCGTATACATAGTTCTTCATTGTGAATATGCTTTCGTAAGAAAAAGGTTAAGGTGCCTGAAATTATTTTCCCAGGGGGAAAGGCCAGTATTGTCGGAGGTGTACATATACGTACGTGTGTCCTATTGCGAACGGTTTCCGGGATAGAGCTATTTCACTCTACAGTTCCAAAATTCTTGATAAAAAAGAGATATTACGTACTGTTTCTAATACCGGTATTTATTGTTCAAGTGACAAAGTTGATACAGTTTACTTAGTATAACACAGTTTCGAAAATTCCACTGTCAGCAACTTTGCAATTCATGTGGGGATATGGTGTGTTGCTCGTGTATACAGTGAACAACAGTCCGCTGTATAATGAAATAGCTCTCTCTCTCAGAAACTGTTCGGAATAGGACACATGGTGAAATAAACTTATTTTTTTTGCTCAGAATGACCGATACTGTGACCTCCCAGAATATTGACCTTCCCTCCTGGGACACTCAGTATATATAACATCTTTTAAAACATTTTAACACATTAACACCTGTAAGCTTTAACATTGATGTGCTGAATAACTTTCGTTTTTACTGTAATTGTAAATGTAATTAATTAACTCCATGGGGTAGAATCTGTGAACAATTGGCCTTTATAACTGTAAAGCACTCCCTCACCTGTTGAGCGCATTCTGATGATGGTAAAGTAAAGCTATCCCTGTAACAGGCCGTGAAGGCCCATATGATTGTGAGACGTTGAGAATCCCACATTAGCTAGACAATCGGCTCAAAAATGACGGTAAGGTTGTCAGTATTACGCGCCGGCCGCACTTTACTCCCCAGGAAAAATATTTAATTAATTCCTGGTACTCATTTCTGTTAGAGGCTGAGTCGACTCCCGGGCCATAGTGCGGCTGGAAGGATTAGGTCAATTGAAAAAATCCAATGACCTCATCGGGACTTGAAGACTTTTATGTAATTAAATCAAATTGGTCGCATTCCATGGTGGTGTTCACTTAATGGGCTCAGAGTCAGTCATCCACAACATGCATCTGAGTGTTTGGATGCTTACAAATTCTCACGTTAGTGACAATGAAAAGTACCATCTTCTGGGATGTGAGGCCATCTCGTCTTGAAATATATTTACTGGAGAATCATTTACACGTTCTTATTACATATAAAAATACTCTGTTTTCACAGGTTCGACAATTACGCTGACAACATTACAGTAGATGGTCAAGACTTCAACATGACGCTTTGGGATACAGCAGGACAGGAGGATTACGAACGATTAAGACCACTGTCATACCCAAATGTAAGTGTCAATATAGGTTTTGTCTCTTAAGCCACTCGACCTTTAAAGCAGGGACTTCAATTTCTGCACACATAGTAGGCTAAGCTTGCAGCAACAGGTAATATGAAACACGAAGAAACTACCACACAAGCATTCATACACCATGTAAAAAGGTAAAGCTATCCCTGTAACAGGCCGTGAAGACCCGTAGGGTTGTGAGACGTCGAGGCTCCTACATTTTGTCTAGACAGTCGGCTCACAGATGGCGGTAAGGTTTTTAGCCTTACGCGCCGGCGCCTTTTACCCCCCAGGAAGATTCTTGGTACTCATTTCTGTTAGAGGCCGTGTCGACCCCAGAGCCATAGTGCGGCTGGCAGGATTTAGGTAAATTGAAAAAAAAAACACCTCATCATTCATACACCATATAAAATGCAAAATTGCGCTGGTAGAATTGATGATGTATAGTACACTGCATGTGGCCATTTTGCCGGTCACGGTAGCCGAGCGGTCTAAGGCATGCACTGTCTTCGCTCGCTCGGAAACCGAGATCGTGGGTTCGAATCCCACTCAGGGCATGGATGTTTGTGTGCGTTTTTCTGTGTTTGTCTACAGGTAGAGGCCTTGCGACGAGCTGATGACTCGCCCAAGGAGTCCTACCGTATGTGTAAGATCTAGTAAACCGAAGTCAAACGGAGAGGTTCATGGAGGTAGGCCTAGGCCCAAATTGGGGCTGTAGCGCCATAGGAAAAAATGTGGCCATTTTAGATTTACTTGTTCAAGCACTCATTTAAGATCAATTTTTTTTAACCAGTATGCACGGAAATTTCGAAATTAAGGAGTGTGTGACAGTAGAGCTTGTTTCAGCAAATTAGAAATGCATACATCTCCAAGTCTCTGACATTAAATGAAAAACTGCGTAAATTCTTTTTCGTATAAAACTATTGATATACCTGTAATACTAGAAGAAAATTTCGAAGACAAATGCCACTGGTACACAGATTTTAACATCTTGCATCATATTCTGGAAAATATGTACTTTTTTTTTTCTATTATGTTCCACCACACATGAGCACTTTTGATATTCCTCATTAAGTTACATTTCTGTTCCAGTTTTGAGTTATTTTTCCCCTGTTACATTTCTGGCAAGCTATGTCGAATGTTTCTTCCTATTTGTCGGCGAAAGTAATTTCTAGACTACAGATTAGAATGTGTTAAACTGATTATAAAATTTGGAGTACCACTTTATGGCGGAAGGTTAATCTGAATATTTCATAAGAATCGTGCTATCACAGTTATAAATAAACTTACTCTCCCGACTGGTTTAGAATCAAATTACAATATTTTGGAAACTGGTAACGCATTCACTAGTTTCATACAACGTTTCACAGTCAAAATGAAACAGTTTGTGTGAATTTCTGTCAGAATGAGGCCGGTTTAGTTCTGTTGCATGTCCCGTGTTCAGTAAGCATAAGCTCATATGAATCCCTGAAAACATTTTATCCCCGTGTTATATTAACTACTGGTAATTAGACAACCAAAATTCATTATACTGTGTTACTGGTTGATTCTTAAGTTACTTGGCCACGCTGCTTCGAACGCATAAGTTCCGGCTGATGAATTGGGATAGTCTTAAATAGCGAGTGAGCAATAGTTTGGAACGAGACTGACGTTTATTTCAAGGCACTGTTCCAGCATTCGACTGAAGTGTCTGATAAGGAAACCCGGGAAAGGGGTGTCATGGCAGCTTATAACCCGCCTCAAATTCAAACCATTTACCTCCGAAATACATGTATAGAGAATTAGAGCCTGCTTGGTTATGTTTGTAATCTAACGTTAGATGGCATCACTTCTTCTGGGTAAGTATGCGATTTTATTGTTTTATACGCTAGTTATGCTTAATATAATAAATATAACTCACATTTCCGTTGCGTTGAAAGACTTCAGTTTGTGCGGATATAATGACACAGAAATTCAAATCGGCTAGCTCCGAAATACATGTGTAGAGAATTAGAGCCTGCTTGGTTATGTTTGTAATCTAAAGTTAGATGGCATTACTTCTTCTGGGTAAGTATGTGATTTTATTATTTTATACGCTAGTTATGCTTAATATAATAAATGTAACTCACATTTCCCCGTTGCGTTGAAAGAATTCAGTTTGTGCGGAGAAATAAAAATTGACTTGCAAAACTCGAAGTCCATAGAACGATCTTCTTTTGTTATTTTTCTCCGTCTTTTTCTATTGGTACTGTTGGACACACAGTATTCCCTTCCACGTCAGCCGGGATAGCGTAGTCCGGCGTAGTCTGTATGGTCGGTATAGCGAAAGGCTACGGGCTGGACGATCGAGAGATGGGAGTTCGAGTCCAGGTAGGGTCAAGAATTTTCCCTTCTCCATGTCGTTAAGACCGGCTCTGGGGTTCACACCACCTCCTGTCCAATGGGTACGGGGGTAAAGCGGCAGGGGCGTGAAACTGACCACCTACAACTAGTGCCGAAGTCAACGAAACATGGATCTGTACGTCCACTCCCCCATACGCCTTCGTGGCGTAGTGTCTAATTAGTTAAGCACAAGGAAAACTTTACCTATAACTTTTACCTATTTCCTTCTGTATTGATTATATTGTTAAAACGTAAAATATGAGTGGAATATAGTGAAATAAATATCCACACGAATAATTGATGTTGCATGCGCCTAAGTCTGTAATAGTAAAACTTCTAAACATTACTGTAATATATATATATCACTTGTTTGTCACTGCCTTTCCAGCCCAAATTTTGGCCCAGAGTGGAATCCAAAAATTTAATTGTTTCAGACGGATTGTTTTCTTTTGTGCTACTCCATATCCAGTAGAACTTCATACGAAAATGTGGTGTCCAAATGGTGCCCAGAACTGAAACATCATATGCCACATGTCCCGATTGTATTAGTTGGTGAGTAGAACAGTTCTGCAAGTATAATATCTTCTTGTGTAAATTTGCATCATATTTAACTACCTTTATGTTGCTGCAGGTAACCGTTTTAAAAAATTGTAGGAAGTAACTTTAATTCTTCAAAATATGTGTTGTGTTCTGGGAATAAGTAATTATGGAATGAAGAAAATTCGAATATGATGATATATTTTGTATGACAAATGATATAGGAACAGAGAGAACTTAAGGAGGTCAGTAACTCCTTTTCATGTGTAAATGGATCAAGAGGATGATTGTCGGACTGCAATGGACCCAGTGCTTCTTATTTAATCTATCCATTGACGGAAACGTAGTAAACAATTTTTACCATTTTTCTTATTTTGTACAAATTTTTTAAAACATAAATATACCCATTACTTTGTATGGAGGTCTGTGCAAGTTGAAATTATTTAGCTTTGGTAATGGAAATTGCATTTGGTTGGGCTTTGATATCACTGCTTGGCTTCAAAATATGTCCCCTTTTGCACATCCTGCCTAGAGAATATTAATATATAATATTTTCAACACTAAGGAAGCAGTATGCTTGTAAAGTGTCTGTCATCATGCGCATTTCACCATGGATGACTCTTTGATATCATTTGAACAGTGACATTAGGTTAAATCAAGTTTTCTTATTTGAAATGCAGCTCCTATTATATCTATGTAGAATGACAACTGTTTTTAAAATTAAATAGCTCTTATCAGATTATTTGGGACTGAGGCAGGGGTAGTCAAATTGACATTACTTACCCACTAGCCACCAGACAGGTAAAAAAAAAATGCTTTGTTATTTTGGAAACCCCTTTTCGATTTGGACTATATATATGGGGCGTGGAATATGGGTTTGCAGCTTCAGTTGCAACAGCAACTGCAAAAATCAACACTTCCCACAAACAAGTGTTTTATGCTGTTTATCAGAATTTATATAAGCATTGAAGATTATTTGTAAATGTTAGTAATTTTATTGTTTTGAACTTACTGCTTCTCCTGATCTTGTAATGAAAACCTGCGTGTAACCTTGTTATTGTCTTCATTATGGCCACTGCTACCACCTCCTTTGTTGTTTGGAAAGTTTTAGGTTGGGCAGCTTATGAAACATACATTTCATACTTCAGGTTATTGGCATCAGGATGCATTTAACAAGTTTTCAGAATTTTGACAAACTTCATATTTTTGAAGAGAGTCGTCTTCTGGGTTTANACGGTGCCTAAACCCAGAAGACGACTCTCTTCATTGTCATCGCCGTGAAAACCTCAAAACTTCATATTTTTATTTCAAATCATAGCAAGGACTGAGTTTGTCAAATTCTATGTTATGCAGTAAGCATTTCCATTCTTGTTGTAGTTGTTGTTGCATAATTTGTTTTTGTTTCTGAAAAATGTAGTATTATAGTATTTTTTAGCAAACCAAAGAATTTTTTATATGATTTAATTAATGTGTTATAAATTATCAGGCACAAAGATAGATCTACGAGAGGAAGACCCGGAATGTATTTCATTTGCTGAAGGAAAGAAATTGAAACAGAAGATACGTGCAGCAAGATATGTTGAGTGCTCAGCCATCAAAGGTGAGGGTCTTCAGGACGTTTTCACTGAAGCGATCAGAGCAGTGATGAAGAAGCCACCAACTGTAAGAAGAACATGCAGTTTTTTCTAGTCTATCATATGAATGAACTGAACACTCAGTATTGTTTTAACAGAGCTGAGTACTAGCAGTACTGAATTCAGAACAAGTTGCAAGTCTGTAATAAAAGAATGACAAGAAAACTGAAAATTACATACACTATAAGGTCAGAAGTGGTTGCCACCCTTGTGTATGATGTAACTAAGCTAGACACTTGTCCCAATTGTTTTAGCATTGAGGTATATTTCACAAGTAAAGTCCAACATGAAGAAAGTAAAAGTGTCACCTATATCTTCTTATATTGAAAATCTGCCTATTACAAGCATTTTTTGCTATTATCCTTGAACAATAAAAATGTCACTATTAATAAAATATTCTTCTAGTGTGGCAGAAAAGCAGATTAAGAGAGTAATAGTCCTAGTAGAAGCTGCCATATGATAATTTCAGTTTTATGCATGCAAACTAAAGGCCACAAAGTTCCCCCCCCCCTACACCAAAATGTGCCAATGAATACATTATCATCTTAGAATTAAAGACCTGAAAACTGTATTAATTATTTAATATGGTTACTATTTTAAACTACTCTGATATGAATAACAGATTGTTTGTACAGTAATTTTTTATATTGTTTGGAGTTAATATACATGATACATGCCACCTGCATTAAGAGTTTGTGTCATAAATATGATTCTTCAAAGTAATTCACATATTGATTACTGCTGATGCATAAAAAGTCTTGATAATGAACTGAAACTGTAAACATATTAAAAATCATTTATATGTAAAGTTGTACTGTGTAGTTATTTTACACATCCTTCTGTTTCTTATTCTGAAACATCTAATTTCCACTTATATAAATCCTATGGGAACATTTTACTCATTTAACAACACTTTTAAAAATAGAGGGATTTACCATAATGTGTCATTTCCCCTGCATTGATACGAGTATGTAGGTAGAATCAGTTATTGAGCGGATAGTCAGATTGTAGGTGGACCATGGTGTAAGAAGTTTTGTGGCATTTTAAGTTGTATGTTAAATGCTATGTGAAATGCTGCAAATATCTGTTTCAGTTATATTTAATGCCATGTTGTTATTGAGTATGGGGGAGATTGATTATAATTCCATTTTCTAAATCTTTGTTTGACTGTCTGGTTTCATTGAACAAAATATGTTATTACTAGCATGCCTATGCAGAAAAATTTATACAGAATTTGAGGTGGTTGCTTACTTTTAATGTCTGTTGGACACATATTTTTCATGACCTTCAGATCATGTTACTATGCTTAATATGTAAATATGTGGAGGGTATGTACTCACTGTGGTCATGACCCTAACGATTTTTTATGGGACAGATCTTTTTGGACCTCTGTGCATGATTTTTTAGACAGAAAGAAAATTAATTTTTACCACGGTTTTTTTGTCCAAGAGAAACAACTGTTGTATGTACTCGTACTGTCTTTCTGTGTGACATGCCATTTGGCAAATATGAGATGGATGCATGGACAGTTGGCTGTTAGGCTAATATAGTATATGCAGTAAACTCCACAGTACCCAGCATGTATAGAGAATGGAGTATGCCATTTGCACGAGAAATCTCTTACAGAAACAAGGTACAAAGTCAAAACAGCACGTTTTCACTTTCCTTCTTGCATTGGAATCTTCCTGAGTGGAACAGAAGTTTCTTGGGTGATGTGATCACATATTCACGTAGCCTCTACTATGTTGATACCTACATGATGGAGACCGAAGTGTAGCAGTGCCAAAGACAGCTTGGAGACCTACTGTTTGGCAGGTGAACGTCTATACGATGGGGTACCCAAAAGAAACTGAACTAATTTTTTTGTGGGCAGAGCTTTTGTAGTACCACGTTTTGCCGCTATGAGCACATAGAGCTAACATTCCTGAGTCGATAAGCCGACTACCGTTGCTTCAGAAGGTAAGGACTAGTTTCGG